TAGCAATAATTAACGTCTGAACTATCTAAAAAAACACTTACTGAAACAACAACAACAAAAAATTATGAAAAAGAGTTTTTAAATTATCTCACATTATTGAAACAAAGCGCTAACAAATACTTAATTATTTACAGTCCCTTAAGTATACTTTCACTTTTCAAACTACACTTTAATAACAAGTAATAGTGTTATATCCTTCTCCAAAATACTTTGCATTGACTAGAGTTAAAACTTATCAACAGCACAATAAGTCAATTTGTTCCTAATTAGCTGCTGAACACACATCACATGTCAACCAAACCAACATAGCAAAAATTCACACTCATATTATAACTGAAACCACACTCGTACTTATACGCACATTAACAATGTTGTACATATCATTGGTTTCCCACATAATTGCATTCAATTATTTTTAAAACATTATCTACGTTTAATACAGCAATTTCTACTGAAAAAGAACTGGGAATCTTGTGGGTCAATAATACCCTAGTATTTTAACATGATATTCTGCCTTTAAGTTGTTGTTTTTTTGTACATTATCACATACCCACGTTTAAATGTTTAAATAATTGTTCTGAATAGTCTTCCTTATTGTAAAGGGTACTTTCATGTGTATTGGTCATCACAGGATACAATGATAACAAGTAATATCATGAAGAAGGTTAAGAATTTTATATGTTTCAGATCTGAAAGCAAAAACTAACATGAACACAAAGAGACAAAATAATATAAATGACATACATTACAATACTGTATTCACAGTCCCGATTAGAAGATTGTCTCACTAATGAGATCCAAAATATCACTGTACAAATAATGGGATAATCTCATGAGCTGTCTTTAATGGTAAAAATTTGGCTATTTCGTGCACAGTAGTTAGATTTATGACACTCACTATTATATTATCAGTTACATCTTTCTTTGAGTAATAACTGATTAAGATCTTAGGCTATTATTTATGCTGAAGATGGAATTAGGAAAATCTTATGATTTAAATCTTTCTAATCTTACGAGTCATATTTTCTATAAATAATTGTTTTGCAAAACTGAGATAAATACAATGGTACAGCTTGTGAGCAATACAAAATTGGGGATGTGGGAGTGACTGGATTAAACTTTTATGAACATTTCTAGGACCTCCTAATAAAAAACCATTGATTTCCAGTATTTAACTTTGTTTTTACAAAATTCCATGACTTTCCAGGATTTTCATGACCTGTGTGAACCCTGTTGATAGCCACTAGACTTGTCCATATCTGATACAGTTAAAACTAAGCTGTACTTGATAACAATAACTGTTTTACATATGACAGTTAAAACTAGACTGTACTCGATAACAATAAGTTTTTACACATGACACAGTTATAACTAGACTGCACTCAATAACAATAACTGTTTTTACATATGACACAGTTATAACTAGACTGTACTCGATAACAATAAGTTTTTACATGTGACACAGTTATAACTAGACTGCACTCGATAACGATAACAGTTTTTACATATGACACAGTTATAACTAGACTGCACTCGATAACGATAACAGTTTTTACATATGACACAGTTATAACTAGACTGCACTCGATAACAATAACAGTTTTTACATATGACACAGTTATAACTGGACTGCACTCAAAAAAACTGTTATTGTTAACATATGACACAGTTATAATAGGACTGCACTTGATAACAATAACAGTTTTTACATATGACACAGTTATAACTAGACTGTACTTGACAACAATATCTGTTTTACATATGACACAGTCATAACTAGACTGTATTCTATAACACAAACTGTTTTACATATGATACAATCATAACTAGATTGTACTTGATAACAATAACTGTTTTACATATGATACAGTTATAACTAGACTGTACTTGACAACAATATCTGTTTTACATATGACACAGTCATAACTAGACTGTATTCTATAATACAAACTTTTACATATGATACAATCATAACTAGATTGTACTTGATAACAATAACTGTTTTACATATGATACTGTCATAACTAGACTGTACTTGACAACAGTATCTGTTTTACAGGTAAGCTAGGTCAAATCTATAATCTTGTACTTTTAGGAACTGGGTGAAATTTTTAACTGATAAGCACATATTTTATTGTAATTAGAAATGATTCACTTACCTTCCCTACTTCTGTCTGCCGACGACATGTCATTTGCACCTATGTTTTCTTTCTCTGTATGTATTATACCATCATCTAATGGCATATCCATGTCTTCTGCACTCCTGAAATTCAAATATGCCTGAATGTCATAAGGCTTCTATAAAGTAAAACACACATTATTTTTCCTGTGAAATTCATGCAACTATAATAGATAGTGTTCTAAAGTGAGCTTTAAAATAATAATTTGCTTTTGTTATAATCACTTGAAATACCACTCCCCACAAAAAAGAAAAACATGAAAAAAAAAAAAATTGTGTTTTGCAGAAAACACTCATGCATCACTTAAGCTTCCTAACTATGTAGGCTACTGAAAGTGAGTTAACAATTTTTAACATCCTTAATTTTTCAAAACCCGAAAGACCACTGACAACCAAGGAATGCAGGAAACTGAAAAGTAATATCTCAGGACATTTCATATAAAGCCTCAAATGAACAATTAATCTTCTCAACAATGGACCCATTCTTTTAAAAATCAAGATTGCAGAAGAGTTTGGATTGTCATAAATAGAACTGATGTTTCAAAAAGGCTACATATAGTTTTTGTATTTAAAGTAGTTATTGAAGGCTAGAACTCTTTAATGACTCTTAGTTAAAGGTATTAGATTTAAAACTGTCTTCAGTCTGTTATGTATCTTACTGTTTTGTGGTGAGTGAAACCCATTACATTTAATGATGTTGATTAGACAACATCTGTACACTGCTACTTTAAAGGTCAGGTCAGTGAATTTAAAAAAAAAGACCCAAAACTCATGCACTTTCAAACAGTTTACTACTTTTCTTTAGAAGAATACAAGGGTCAAGTTCTTTTTAATAACATTATGCCATATTTGATACTACTAAAGTAGTAGACTTAATGTTCTATGACACAATAATTCCAGTTTTTTTGTTTTAACAGTACTCTGTTCTAGTCCTTCTTATATAAAAGCAAACACATTTACTTACTGGTTTAATAAGAGAGGTTGGTTGTCTTCTAAGACAGTAGCTGGCCCATACAAATGTGCATAGTGATCACTAGAGGACAGAAAGGTGAAACAAACTGTAAATATGTTCAAAAGTTAGATTCTGAAATAATGCCATAAAATACCAGCATATTCTAAATAAAGAATCCATTGAAACTTTCAAATTTGACATGTGGTACATAATTAATCCACTAGAACAGTAGCAATAAGCTTTTTTTAAAATTCCAAACACAATGTTCAATTACTATAAAATATGATTTAAGCATTTTTAGTTTATTAAAAAGTGTTAAACAGGTATTAAATTAATAATGTAAACCTATCTATTATCGGCTTACTTAATTTTTTCTTACCCACATTATGATAGTTACATAGTAGAGGGTGGTTAAATAGCAGTAAGTGTACTTGGAACAGCCTGTACAGTGAACCATGTAATGCACAGGCGAAATAATAAGCATATGTGCAGCATGTGTCATGGGAAGTGCATTCCACTGGTTTTTGGAAATAAAACTAGAGAACCACCATAGTAGTCAACCAATGTTCACACCATAATGTTTTATTGCTGTAGAGATCATAATATAAATATTGTCACAAAAAATTGCCTGAACCTCTGTAGCATAAGACATCTTTCATTTGAAAAAAAGATACTGAATTCTGGTAACAAATGCAAGTCTGAAAAAAGCCCCATAATCCATAGTCAGCAGGAGTGAAATAAGGAAAGTGTGATGGATAGGCATAATGAAAATGGTGGTTAAAAGCCTGGTACTTATTAACCCTTTGGATGCTATCATCAGATCTATCAGACTTGACATTTATAGCTGTTTGGTGCGACAAGCGGATTTACCCCACGGTGTCACAAAAATATTTCCTCAGTCTGCGACAATCAGGATACTCATATATCCTTGAATTACCTGCTTTAGTATTGCGTTTGCATACATCACCGAGCAAAAGTGCAGATAGTAGATTTTGATATTGAATAAGTAGTAAAAAAGGTCAAATTCTAAATCTCATTTGTAGTGGATAATTGACACATTTTGAGAACCCACACAAAGGGTTAATAGTCTGTATGGGCAATGTCTTTACCAGGCAGTGGATACTAGGGCACTATCCTTCATGCATATTATATCCTAGACATATTCGGGATGTTGGAGTTCTGGTATAGCATGTGTGATAATGTTACCAGTCAGCTAAACTTGTTGGCTCATGGAATTTTCTTACAGATCTGTTGATAACAGAATGTGCATGACCTGCATCTTGTATTAGTCCTGTAGCTCAGTGTGCTGCCCCAGTATTGCACCTAATTTGATGATATAGTTCTACCAACATTGGCTGTTGTTCCAAATGTAACATTGTTGTATACTTTCCACTACTAATAACAGAAAAACAATTATTCATTACATCATGTACTTGCATACCATTACATCACATACTTGTATACCAGCTTAATATGCATGTAACCATATGCAACATCCATTGTGGAATGAAGTTTCCATCATTTCTTATGTATGCATGTCCATATGCTACACAGTTTGCCTTACAGGCAGTTCCAAATACCTGTTATAACCACCCTTATATTCTTATAATATTCCACAATATACATCAGTGTGCTTGAAATATTTCCAACAATACAAATACAAGAAAATTACACATTCGAAATGTAAACTTTTATTTCAGCAAATCGTATGGGACTTTAACAACTTAATCCACAGTTTAATTTTGTGAAATTTTATTGTATTTTTGAAATTTTACTCGTTTTTTTATGCAATAATGAATTCTGTATTTTAAGATCAGAATTTACTTACGCTAGAACCATCTTTGTATATACTCGTGTTAAATTGTTTTCAGATGTGCTGCGCTGAAGCCACTTCTTAAAGTATTGCTCATCATAATTGTGAAGAAACAGCTGAAAATTTCCATGATACCTCAGTTTTTTTTACCTGTTTATTAGAGAACTAAACAACACACTTCCCAGTCTACTTAGTCAGTTGCAAGTTTCTACACATTCAATGCTGTTTAAGTATTATAACTCTTAAAATATTGTATTGAATTATTAAGCTTTATGCATCAAACATTTCAACAACTCCAAAATAACCAATAAAAATTAGATTTAAGCTAAGGTACTGAACATAATATTAAGAGATTGTCCTAAATATAGAAGGTTGTTCACAATATATTGTAATTATATGCATATCCTATCACCTTGTCCCTGGCCATCCCTGTGGCCCGTGACCATATGGGTTAAAGCCCTGCCCTATTTTTGCAGAAGAATTACATTATAAGACTTTCCAATGAAAAGTTCTCCTATCCTGATTATTAAAGCATGCAACACACTAAATGTTAGCATTAAAAAAGAGGGGAGCAGATGTCTACAGTGTGGAAGAACATAATTGGTAATGGCAAGTGAAAACATGATTTCATCAAGGAATAAAGGCTACCCCTTGATCAGCTACCAGTTGCACACAAGAGGCAGTGAAGAAAGTTAAAACAACTTGTTACCAGAAGTAAGTCAAGAATATAGAAAACCATTGCAACTGAAATAAGAATCTTCTTTAAAATATATTCAAGATAATTCACATGAATTTAGGTTTACATGAAGAAGCTGCAAGACTTAGACACCTATCCTTGTTTTGTTGTCATAAATTATGAACAACCCTCTGTATTATACAAAAAAAATATGTAAATGGCTGGAAATGGGATTATAGAAAGAAACCCATCAAAATGGTCAACATTTTATCTATAGTTAACCCAGACATCATTATAGTCACAAACTGGTATTTTTCCCTTCTTACTGGAAATACACACTATCTAAGTTACATAATTTAAGATATTTATGTTAATTTTATAATGTCCTATTGCACTTACTTCTTTAAAAAGGGGGTATTATTTAGGAGTAAAATTAATATATATATAAGCAAAATAAAATCAATTATTTGAAGCTAACCTTTGCAATTTTACAAATCTACAACAAATATTGATAACCTCTGAACTAACTAAAAAATGATATACAAAACAGTGAGGAAATTAAATATATTACTCAAACTATGGAGTTTGATATAACTTAAAACTAATCCATGACGTTAGGAAAACACATAGGTTCCAAAAAAATCAATTAAAGACAAACAATATGAGATTCTATGACCAGAGTGCTTTCAAAAGGTGGCCCTTTCTTCACCAGGGACAAACTAATACCATTTACCAATAGTTACAACATATATGAACTAAACAAAATATACAATAAAAAAAGTTACTTTTTCCTACTTAAGAAAGAAATATATCACACACACGAAGTTTAAAAAAAAAGAAAACCAAGAGCAAAGATGTCGAGATGTGAAAGAAAGAAAAACAAAAAGCACAATGTATGCAAGTCTTATTTATGATACCAAAGAACATTAAGATAAACAATGGTTAGTAAATCACATTCACTGCTGAGGACACACATTGTGATGTGCACGTTTAGCATTCATTTGCATGTGATCACGGCACATTTGAGCTGTAAATACAAAATGTAAAGATTACATGTTTTAAATTTGTTATTATTGCTATTGTTTAAACTGAAAACACAACAATATTGAACTAAAACTCTCATCAGCATTTGCAATAGATGATGCCAAGCATTGCAGCAGTTAAGATGTTAAAAAAACAACAACAAATTTATCAATACTGACAGGAGAACCCTGATATCATGGGTCCCTGGTGATATTGGCTTATATATATTTTTTTTTTAATGGGAACCTTAATCAAAACTATTATTTTTATTGTACATACAAGATGTTGCACTTGATGTGATAATAGATCATTTAAAGGTGTTACCTTCCAATAGTTTTCACTGTGGTCACCTGTCACCTCTTCATTGTTACAGTATATATATACATACTTAGTTAATTTCTCTCACACTTATTTGTACCTTAGTATGGTAAGTTTAGCCAAGTCCTGATCCTGTGTTATAACAAGTATTAACACTACTAAATCACCACATTTTATAGGTGGTAGACAATATTATGGCAGGAATCCAATATCTTGACCATATTCAGTCAACAACCTTAAGACCAGATAAATAATAAGTTATTACATGATTTTGTAAAGCAAGGAAGATTTTCAAACTAGCTGGCATTTTTTAAATACAAAGATCATCAAAGACTTTCAAAAAGTTCAAAAATGCTTAGTGAAATCAAATATCGGTGTACCATGAAATGATACATAGGATTAAATCAAACAACATTAGAGAATATTGTTAGTATTCTATGTTTTAAGTATTGTGATGAGTTTGGAATTTATGGTTCATTGCATCATGTAAATCAGTTTGGGGATTTAAGGAAAGTAATAATAAGTGACAATAAGGGTAAAATTCTTTGTACTGTGATGTTATGTGGAATACGAGGTAAGCAGTATACTTATGGGTGTGGTATTTAGGTACACTGATATTCACCAGGTAGCCAAATATATATCCATAAAACTAATGTTCAGTAATGTTAAGCAAAGAATAAATTAAGTATGGGGGAGCAGATGAAAAACAAGCAAAGAAAAGTGAACAAATGGAAATAAACATACAATAACAGCAACTTTTACTATAGGCAAGTTCTTATTTTAATACTTACAATGTTTCAACCAATAGTATTGAATCAAAACAATGTAATTATTAAAATAAAAACTTGCTTACTGTAAAAGTTGCTATTACTGTATTTTTGAATTAATTATTCATTTCACTGGGTTCGTCATTAGTTTTTGTTGTGAATCCTCATTAACTGCTGGGGTAGGAGAGGCTTTCCAAATACATCTGCCAGGAAAGGATAGGTAAGATAAAGAGTTCCTAGTGCTGTATCCCCTTATCCTTAAATTACCCAAGTCAATGACTATTCCAAACAGATACACAAGAAATAGATTCCCTAATTCATACCAACTTGTACAAGTATCTGTACCAAGCAAAGACACAGTTTCATACTGGTAAAAGTTCTTATGTATTAACCATTATCATGTGTAACCTTTACCTTAGAAAAATATTAGTAAATGTTTACAACATTTCAACAAAGATGTAATTAGGTGCAAACCACCTAAACAAAAATCTAAAAAAAAGTTACCTGATCATACATTACTAAAGATATAGTCTAAGCTAGTTATGTATGGGAGGAAATTAACAGTTATTCCAACTGCATATGATATGGAGAGAGTAGTTAAAAAGCAGTCAGACATAAAATAAAGACAGGTAGAGCTTGTTGGTGTACAAATATTGTGGCAGTGAGTTCAGAGAAGTTATTGTTGCAGATGCCTTGCACCCATTAGTTAATGCTGAGTATCAGATATGGCACCAGCCTCTTCCTAGCAAGGGGGCTGATGTAGGCTACACAAAAAAAATTGAGGGGTCTACATTTTACATTTTGTGAACACACACATACTTTAGTATTTGGGAAATGAACCAGCTTTAACAGAAAGCACTTTTTGTTGGTTGCAAAGGCTACAGGGATGACTAAAGCATATTTTGGGGTAACTTCAGCCCCAGCAAGCATCCCTTACCACTGCTTCTGCTGATTGGACTGAGTACCCAATGTTCTGGAAGTTCAGTTACTTTTGGTCCAAGTTCTACAGATTATAGAAGTTCAGTTACTTTTGGTCCAAGTTCTACAGATTATAGTAGTACTAATGAGCAGTATTTTTCCAATTATCAAAGTATTAGGTTGTCAAGAAATTAATGCCACATTTTGGAACACTTTCATTAACCACTCCCCAAGAAACGTACATCATATATAATATTTAGACCAACCTCTTAAATGTTACATTAGTGTAGGCTGTATAATGTGTAAAGTTTAGTATATTCTAATCCCTTATAGTGATGGCACATGACAAAACACACACATTCAGCATGTAATGCTGTTTGAATACAAGAAGGGAAACAACGCCCCTGTAGCCACAAAGAATATCAATGAAGTTTATGGAAATGTTTTGAATGTTCGTAAGTGTCAACGATGGTTCAGCAAATTTAGTTCAGGTGACTTTAGCCTTAAAAACTGTGATGACAGGAGCCAATATGTTGTAATTGATATTGATGCTCTGATGACACTTGTTGAGTCTAACCCAAGGCAACACGTTTGTGAAATGGACCTGAAATTACATGTCTCTCATGAAACAATATGTAAACATCTAAGGAATAAGGGAAACTCCATAAAGAAGGTGTTTGAGTGCCTCACGAACTCTCCGATGATCATTGTTTCCAACGTATGAACGTTGCTTCACCTCTTCTGGTGCATAATGCGCTTGAACCATTTTTAGACAGAATTGTCACTGGTGATGAAAAATGGATTCTCTATGTGAATATTAAATGTCAAAAACAATGCCTCAGTCCTAGACAAAAACCACTTCCAACCCTAAAACCTGGATTCCATATGCAGAAAGTGAAGTTTTGCATTTGGTGGGACATCAGAGGAGTAATTCCTTTCGAACTCCTCAAACCCTTCATCAGACACGGCTGTCAATTGGAAAGGTGTTCTTCTCCATGACAATGTATGTCTACATATGGCAAGTTTGATGCAACACAAGATTATGGAGTTGGGTTGGGAAGTTCTCCCCCACCCACCATATTCTCCAGATATGGCACCATCAGATTACCATCTTTTTCGTTCCCTGCAACACCATCTTACTGAGAAAACGTATGCAAGTTTAGAAGGTGTTAAAGAGGACATCGACATGTTTTTTTCTTCAAAGCCAAGTGATTTATTTAATCAGGGCATTAACAATCTGATTGTAAGATGGAAAAGCATCATTGATAAGAATGGAGACTATTTCATTTAATATATGTTTTGTTTTGATATAAGTAGTTCAGGTTTTTTCATCTAAAAAAAGCAACATTAATTTCTTGATGACCTAATACATCTAACAAAAACAGTATGTGTGTGTTTTTGTTTGTTTGTTTAGAGCAATGCCATAATGGGCTATCTGCTGTATCCCCCTTGGGGAATCGAGCCCTGGAGTTTAGCAATGTAAGTCTGTCCCACTGGAGGACATGAACAGCCGATTAACAGTTAACAGCCGATTGATTAAATGAAATCAGTGTCTTTGGACAGAAAAATTACAACTAGGACTTACAATGTAATAATGTTGTTTTAAATTAGTTTTTGGACTTAATGTGTGTATTAATCATTATTAATACTGATGTTGAAGTGATAATTATTGGATACGAGAAACATTTTATCATAATAAATTATTAAACAATTATTGGCTCTATTTATTCTAATGAATTGTGGTTTTAATTCTATGGGTATTTTAATATTTATCTGTGTATTTATTGGGGATACTAAAAGAAAATTAGATACCACTGAAAATGTTCCATACAGTGTACGTTAAATGTGGTCATGTAGCCTGGACATCAGAAGTACTGTTATTTGAATCCATTGGTAGATTGTGACAGTGTTAATTAACTTTAGAATGATGACTGGTGGTTTTTAAAAAAATCAGTTAGTTATTCTGTTAAGTCAAATTTCAAAGGCAACTACAGCAAATAAATGAGATCGGTAAATTCGAGAAGTAATAATCATAACCTTCAGGTATGAAAAGAGACTAAGGTATTTTCCTTGTTTGGGTACAGATCTTTTATATTTATATCACTTAAATTTTTCTATAAGTTTCAATCCAATTTTGAATTAAAATTCTGAGTACCTTAAAAACAAAAAAATTAAACTGTACCTTAGCATTGACTTCCCCAAAAAGACTGTGGTCACTTTTATCCTGAGTTCTGATTTTCAGCCAGTTGACAAGAGGTTTTACAGTGCTACCCTATAAAAATAAAAACAATTTGTCTTATTAAATATGTAGTACTTATCTAAACTATAGAAATATAGGAAATAGAATGAAGTAACAACTGATTCAACAATAACTGTAGTAGCTATTAAATATATACTTGAAGACTGTTATAATTTTAGGATAAAGCACATAGATACACGGAGTTTACTTACCACCATAACATCATATGGGGGGGGATTTCTTTGTTTGTTTTAGATATTTGTGCAAAGTTATACAAGAGGTATCTGTTCTACTACCTAAAATGTTAAACTGACAGTCTAGAAGAAAGCTAGTTAATCAACAGCATCCACTGCCAATTCTTGGGCTACTCTAATCAAATACTGCGATTTAACCATCACTCTTCTAATGTACCAACAGCCTTAATGTAATTTTTCAGCAAAGAAATATGAACCATGCATCATTAGATATACAGTCCAGCATGCTAACCCTTAGGTCATACCCAGACCAAGGGAAAAAGAAGCATATTTCTTTTATCACTTGGTGCTTTTAAAAACTTTCAAACTTGCCTGTTATTTTTGTAATTAATTTTCGTATAACT